CATTTTTGGAGAAGGTTATACAGAGTGTATAATCTGTGTTTGACCAGAGGGTAATGAGTCATACAGGCATTCAACTCATTTCAAGGAATTGAGTTAAAAATACTTTATTGCATAAATGTAGTCAAGGCCTTTTTTTATGTACAGTACAGCGATTAAAAACTGAAACAGAATAGGATGTGAACCAGGATCTCGACCCATATTGCTCTATATTTTGCAATGTTCTAACCAATAAGTTAGCCGTTCTGAAATACTTCAATCTTGTTTCTCAGTAAACACAATATGTGTGATGAGCCAGTGGTTAAGGTTAGTCATTAATATTTAACTTAAATATACATGTTTTCAAGATGTGGTGATGCAAATAGACTCACGTATTTCTGATCTTCGGCCAAAGAAGCAAATAAATTCGCTCTGCACGAATTTCAGACCCCCCACCTCTCCAAGGCCTTTTCTTCAAACTTTTTTTTCAGCCACCTCACCTGGGTTACATTGAAACAAAGTCTCGTAAGCCTGTTGTTACCCCAAACATCAAACACTCCCTATTTAACTGTGTTTATCAATCCTGTTATCGATCAGTGTTGTAAAGATTAACATCTTTATAAGCACATATTAAGTAACGAAGAACAAATAAAAAACTACAAAAATATGAAGTTAACTACCCGACTAGTTTCAACGTACAACGTGCTTCATTTTCACAGCATACCTTTTGTTCTTCGTTACATAATTCGTGCTTATAAAGCTCTTAATCTTTACAACATTCGTAGATAGCACAAAGTACTGCATAACTTGATTAAATAATTACCGCTTGTCGATCGTTTTAAAGCTCAATCTGCAATGGTTGGCGACAATTCAGATATCAGTTTATTAAAATAGAGTGAAGTGATCACTATGCCAAATAAATAATCAGTGAAAACATTAATTACAGTTTTTAATTTTGGTAATTACAAAAACAAAACAAAAAAAAACATTGTGTAAATGAATTTGGTTATCTATTCTATCAATAAAATATATATATTATGATTATCGATTTAAATCGACGTAAATGTATCTCTGCATTGAAATATAATAAAAAATTAGATTAGACACACGTGTATGTATATATATATTGTGCTTAAGTATGTAATTGCGAATTTGAGTCTATTTATTTGTTTGTTTCTTGTTAAGCACAAATATGCACGTGCTACTTTTTAATTCAAGAGCTTTGAGTTAACATAATATGTAATAAAGTATTTTAGGTAAATATCAGATAAATGTTCACACTATAGTGATAATCGTTTAATAATAGAGAACACATCCTCCGGTGGGATAGCGGTAAGTTGACGGACTTACGACGCTAAAATATAAGGTTCGATTCCCCGTGGTGGACACAGCAGATATCCCAATGTAACAAAAAGCAGCGATTTTTTTATCATTTATTCAATTATATTTTCAATTCAATCTTTAATCTCATGAATTAGAAACTTGTATTTTCCAGATAGTCTCTTAAATATGTAACCTACTGCTAAATTTTGTGAATTTTTGTTTGACAAATTCGATATTCTTAATTCTATTGTTTTTAGTTGTTACAATACAAATTAAAATACTTCTGACAAAATTAACAGCTGTGTACTTGAGAACCTAACATTTATTATAAAACAATATTGTTGTTTTTAAATTAAATGATTACCAGCCTTTTTAACGTGCACTGGTTTTAATTCTATCTCATCTGATCATGTCATCACAGAATCGATTCCCCCACTGGCTCAGCGGAAGGCCAGTAGCCTTTCGACGTTAAAAGTCGGGTTTTGATACCCGTATACCCGAGATGGTCAGAACACAGATAGCCCATTGTTTAGCTTTGGGCTTAAAAACAACAACCAAACAGAATCATTTGTGCTTGTCCCTTGAAAAAGAATAATAGCTATAGGATTAAAATATGTCGTTCTTTCGACTTTTAAAAAAACATTCCATTAAATACTTATAGTTTGTTTTTGAAAGTTTTTCGGGAATGGTCTGAAGGTCATGGGCTCAAATCTTGTCCCTGAAAATGCTTGACCTTTAAACAATTGAGTGTTATATTGTGACGGTCAATCCCACTATTCGTTAGTGAAGAGTAACGCAAGAGTTGGTGGTGGGTATTGTTGACTAGCTACCTTCTCTCTATTCCATAAATTACAAATAAGAGTGGCTAGCGCAAATAGCCCTCGAGTAGATTTGCGCGAAATTTTGAAACAAAACAAAAACAAACAAGCACGCTGTTACTAACGAACGTTATCTTTGGCAACTAATGTTGCCTGCTCGGCTATTGTAGAATAGTAAATGCGCTTAAGAAACGCAGATATTATCGGTAATATGGCATCGATCATGTCTGGGAGGCCAAAAGAAAAACAGCCATACGAGAAACCATCTTAAAGGAATTGGATGTACAAGAACAAATTATGAAGGATTATACGTAGATGAACACAGACACAGACACATATAACACACAACGGCCTTTTTTAAGTAACACTTCCTGTACATAGAGATAACCGTGACGTCAAAAGGCATTAAGATACGTGACAAAAGTCCTTGGTGAAATTATCCTCCTTCAATACTAATTTTCAATGTACAGTGTATATAAGTAATATTAACACACAGGCTATAAGCAAACACAACAATATGTTATTTATGTAGGAGGGTGTCACGACCAACTACAACCATTAATGCTTGAGAGTTACATTGGTTAATGTGTGACCTTCTTCCACCATCCCTCTCCTGTTGTACTACAATAAGGTGTGGCATATAAATAAGTGAGTATTTGACAAACAACCATGCTGTTTCTCATGTTTAACATTTGACAACCAATCAGAAAGAAGCAAACAACTTAATCAATATATTACGTAATATATGGTCAATCTTATCTGATTCCAAATCTCATACGAAATTCGCTTGTTCTCTTCCCCCTCAATACTAACTTTGATATGAAACAAAAGAACATGATAAAGACGTCAGTTTGAAGGAGAGCTTGATTTGAAATGGAAGTTCTTAACTAATCAACCAAAACCGTTTGTCTCTTTATATTAGATCTGTTGTTTAAATCTTACGAGACGGAAAGATCATATCCCGCATTTTAAGCTACAAATGCATTATAAGAGAGAAAGTCAAACCCTTTTTATGGATGGTAGGCGGTAAGGGATTGTTGACTGGCTGCTTACCTACCCTATGATCGGTAGCTCAACATTAGGAACGGCGACGTATAGCCTAAGTAGTTTTGCCATAAATAACAAAAAAATACAATACGAATTTTTTAAGCTACTTAAAATTAACAATACCTGTGGTTTTCTTGTTTTTATAAAGACGTTTGAAAACAATGCCTAATCCTAAAACAATTAAAGAATTATATATATGGTTGATATCTTCAGAGGTTCTTAGTACATTTAAATCATGATTAGGAAAAGATAATAGAAGTTCGTTGGAAGCAAGCGCTATTCAATGCTAAACAACTGAACGAACTGTCAAGAAATACAACAAATAAGCACAACTAAAACTTTAAATCCTTGCCTGTTACTTGTTTTTTAGTAAATTGATTGAAGTGTGAAAGCATTATATTAAACATACAGACTGTAGAGTTTTGTTCCTCTTCCCCCCCAAACTTCATCAGTATCAACTTGAGTTTCATTCCTATTCCCCCAGACTTCAGTATCAACTTGAGTTTTATTCCTCTTCTCCCAGACTTCATCAGTATCAACTTGAGTTTTATTCCTATTCCCCCAGACTTCAGTATCAACTTGAGTTTTGTTTCTCTTCCCCCCAGACTTCATCAGTATCAACTTGAGTTTTATTCCTATTCCCCCAGACTTCAGTATCAACTTGAGTTTTGTTCCTCTTCTCCCAGACTTCATCAGTAGCAACTTTTTGGTATAAGGAGATGGGGACTTAAGTATTTGTTTAGCTAGAAGTAACAGAGCATATTTACATAAAGGAGAAACACATTTTGACACTATTTATTCTCTCTTTTATAGCCTACAATTAGGAAGTAGACGTACTTTACTTTTCATAGTATTTTATACCTTGAGTAAGAAGTATAGTCTTATGAAATATATTCTTATATTTACTTCAAAACTGTGGCGGTAGGATATCAGTTGTTTTCATGGTTAGTAGCCCATACAACCACCTAAGTTGATAGTACACCAGTCTTTCTAATAATGAGATCCATAGTTGAATCGCAGCCACTACCACCACAAACTGTCCATCTCAGGTCATAAAGTAATCAGTAATGAAAATATCGGGCTAATTAATAATTAGGCCTTGGTAATGGCAGACTACTAACCGTGACAACGAAATATTTTCATCCTGGTTTGCATTTATTCAAGTCTTAAACTGGCATTGAGCTATAGTTTTGTGTCTTATATTAGATACTGTGCAAAGAGGCCTCTCTCGTTTTAAAAACAACGAAAAACTCAAGAACTGAAGGTATACTATATACGTTATAAGAAGCAAACTTAAATTGTAGGTTACATTTGTTATGAATGTTTCTAGCATATCTGTTAATCACCTATAGGTTTGTGTGTGTATCAAAGGCATGTAACTTACTATAGATTTATATATTTTTTGAGCTACATGCCATTACAGAATTATATGAGTTTATGCTGATGTCTGCAATTACACTATACAAAATGTAAGTGTAGTAGGTGGAGCTTTGACGGTTTCTCATAGGCTGTCTATGTTTAGACTTTAGTTGCGTGAGCAGAAGCGCGTGGACCAGTGCAAACTGTCTAAGCAACAGACGAAGTTGACGTCGTTACAATCTAGAGCAGGATTGTCTGATCTCAGATCTTGACTGGTAGATCGAGAGTGTCGATCAGTTCACAAATCTGCTCAGTAAATTCAACGTATTAACAAAAACGCTAGAAAAATATAACGAAACAGCTCTGGCTAAGTGTTGTATTTAAAAAAAAATCAAATTCACAGACTGCATTTTTAAAAAAGAAGTTTTGTGATAACGTATCTGTTAAACAACTGTTCGCCTATTTCGTAATTAAATTAGTGTCGTCATGTCTGAAGCTTACGTCCAACTTCACCCGAATCTGCCGGTTACAAATGAGAGTCAACAGAGGGATACTACCTTCACTAAAATCTTCGTAGGGGGTCTTCCCTACCACACTACTGACAAATCTCTTCGACAATTCTTTGAAGGGTTCGGTGAAATTGAAGAGGCCGTCGTAATAACAGACAGACAGACAGGCAAGAGTCGAGGTTATGGATTTGTAAGTAGGATAATTTTTTTATAAACATTTTCTCTACGAGGCACTTTTTTAGCCGTTTTATAGGTTCTTACTGGTTAATCTGTACTTTCGGTTAAAAATTAAGACAAAAGAAAATATTTTAACTCCTGTAATACGTATCCATAACGTCTGTTGTTACTAAAAATATAATATAAACAATATAAAAAATTTAATATGCTAAGAGATATTGCTAATTTTTCCTATTGATTCTAATGAGATATCACTGAGATATTTTATGTTAATTAGTAAAACCTTTAAAATTTCCAAACCAAACGCTGATCCCCATGACTTTCCCTAGGAGAGGTGGAAGCTAAGGGTGCACCCACAGTTTGTCTGAGATTGTATCAAAACTATAGGCATAAAGTCAGACACTCATACAAACAGTAACATATCCGATGTCAGATCCGAACGCCTACGCCTTGTGTGACACTGTGGCGCTCAATATTAGATATTGTCAGAACAATTGCATTATACTACAGCATGCAACGTAACAGCAATAGTTTAAGTATTTGAGTTACAACACTGGCCTTTTAAAATTCCTCCAGTG